AAATATAAACCAAAAACACCCAATCCCCCAACTTTTTTAAAAATAAACAAATGGGTAAATAAATAATTTTAAAAAAATAACCAGATACTCGACGGAAGCTTTTAAAAACTTTTTAATCATTGATATTTTATAGGGTAATGGAGTTACTGGATGCATGTGATTTCTAAAATAATAAAATATCAGATACATTTTTTTTTGCCAAGTGTAAATGCGGAGAACTTACAAATTTAAATACTTTCCCTCAGTGAAATTTTTGAGACTCACCTCAAGTTTCATGACAAGTTTTTACAACTTTAAGAAGCCTGATATTTTCTTCTCACGAACACAGGGTTGTGATCGCGTTCATTGCCGAAGATATCAAGAATCCCAACTGGTAAGGTATTGATCATGGAGGCCTATGTATTAAAATCAAAAGAAGGATAAAATCTTGTTTCGTCAGCAACTATGTGGCAACTCCCAAACTCAGCACTGAAACTTAGGCAAAATCTACCCTTCAACTTTCAAAATCATTATCATGGTATAAACAATTCAGGGTCATCTTTATCACTTTTTTTGAATATGGCAAGAACGAACTTTTTAAATTTAGATAATGATCCCATAAATGAATGGTCAGCTGTAAGACCGGCGGGTCAGTTCAAAAGTGGGCCTGAAAAGGAAAGGGGTCAGTCAGATTTAACAGGTGGAATTGTAAACTTGTCTTGATGTCTATGTGTTTTATTAGAGTTTCGGTTTTGAAGTGGGACACTTCCAACACTCTTTACTTTCCTCTTCCATTTCTCAGGACTGTTCCCCTTGCCATGCTGATCAGCTTGCCTCTCATCACAGTCATCTATGTCTTGATCAATCTGTCTTATCTGACTGTTCTTACGCCTGAAGAGGTTCTTAAATACCCGTCCATCTCAACGGTAAAATGGGCCACTTTCCTATCACGTTTCCTCGCGCAACTGCATCATTATTAAGACTTTTTCCAATGTTTTCCATCGCAATTTCCATGAGCTTTAAGGTAGGAGAAGATCAGAGTTTGAAAAGCCAATTAGATTGGTTATTTTCACCCAAACCAAATTGGAAATACATCGAGAATAATAGTATACAACGTAAATCTCTTTTTAAAAGAAGTCATTTAAATTAGAAAAATAGGTTGTGCCAATTTTTTTTTAATGGCAGAATAGTTTTGCTCAAAACAAAAACTTGTGTCTTCGTCCATGGACATACATGTATTAAGCACACACAGAACAAAACACTCCAGTTCGTAAGCAGAAAATGCATGTTAAGGTTGTTATTTGAAATGTTAAGCGTTTGCTGATACGCTTTGTTTACCATCAACAGATATTTGCCCGTCGAGTCCTCGGCGATAAATGGGCGTGGTTCATGCCTGTGACTGTCGCTATTTCAACACTCGGCGCATTTAATGGGCTCATCATGGGAAGTGGCAGGTACGATTCTACACCAAAAGCCGGACATACCGGGTCATATTGTCATATATGAAACATCAAAAAAAAGCTTTGCTGAATTTCCTTCAAAATGGACACACACTGTCAAGCTTAAAGATAATAAACCTAAGTTAGTGCATGAATGGCAAAAACTAATCAACTAATATCTGTTATTTTACATATTCTACAAAAAAAAACATTAGGCGGAATCAAATTGATACATCCTTTTTTAATTTTTGCTTAAGACTGGAAAAGAAAACATAAAGTTGGTATGATTTCAGTGATCCTACACAGGCATGGGTGTGTTCCCGTTTATGAGAACAACAAATGTTCATATTTGGTTTAATGGATCCCACTAGAAAACTCTTTCTGAACTTAAAATGGCTTCAAATGCGGATTCAGTTATTTTGATTTCAAACTGCTTATAGCAATTGCCATAGTTTGTTTTAAAACAAATGAAATAAAAACGACAGAGCTGCGGAGCAGGAATTATGTTCAAGGATTGTCCGTTCATTTTCCCCCAGGCTTTTGATGGTAGCATCCCGAGTAAACTGCGCTCCAGAGATCTGGTCTATGCTGAGCATCAAAAGGAACACACCCACTGCGGCCTTCCTGACATACGTAAGATGGCAACATGATCCAACAGCCCCTACACCTTCACTCGGCCCCACCCCACTTAGACTTATGCCCTCCCATCGTCTCGTAGGCCTAGTATTGTTCACATGACTCTATCATGTGAGCCAATGTTGTCATAAGTAACAAAAAAGTCTGAGAGCAATAAGATGAAGTATTTTCATAAGGTGTTGTGCAAGAGCAATTTGTTAACGCCAAGTCAACTTTTTCCTGGTCCAAGAGGGACAGCCTTTATAGTCATCTTTATACCTGAGGGACTGACTGACTGACTGTCGTTTGTTAGCTTGGCAGTGCTATCATATATCACCCCCTTTGGACAAATTCTTGATCCGCCACTGCAACTCAACCAATTGTGTGGTTTTATTCATATGTCAAGATTCCAATCAGCCTGATCATGATGCACATTGACGGCTTGACCATCGTCTTAAAGGAGCTAGCATCCTTCGGCTGGATGTCGGTAGCTATATCCTGCATCGTGCTGCTGATTGTGAAGAAAAAGGTGCCGGACATCGAGAGACCTTATGAGGTACAACTGACGTTCAGTTAACCCTTTGGTTTATGTTTACAAATGGGGCAAAATGAAAAGGAGAAATTTGCATAATCTCTCACAAGGGGAAAAAATAAACCCAAGGGGAAAAAATAAACCCAAGGCAAAAAGAAAACACAACAGGCTCTGGATTTGATTAGTGGTTCTGCAGTTCCCTTTATTGGTGGACAAAACAGTCTGTTTACGGGCATAAAGGATGAAATTTTCAAAAAGTCTTGAGCCCCCCCAACATGGCCTTCCAACAAAAAATATGGTTGACAAAACAGATTTCACGTTGTCACAACTTTCTTCAAAAGTAGAGTGTCCCACAGCATTTCTCAACATCCAACATTGAATTCTGAGTGCTGTTCTGGAATTTGGAATTTAAAAAAGTGGTTTTAAGCAAAGATTGTATAACATCTTGTGGTGCTATATGATCTTTGGTTTTGAGGCAATTGTGGTGCATAAGCCCGCACAGATCATTGAATAATTTCATTAAGTATAAGAGCCAAGGGTCTCAATGTTTAGCCATTCCATTGTAAGCCATAAGGATCTCTTCTCTTAGACTCTATCTCCACAAAGGTGTGTTACGCCCCAACTAGACTATCGACCCCAACTTAGTTGGGACAGTCCCAACTTAATGTTCCAACTGGAACTCTTAAGTTGGGGTTCGGATGGTCCTATCCTAAGTTGGGACCATCGCCTAGTTGGGACGTAACAGGAGCACCAAGGCCGTGTGTGGATGCTTATTCAAAATTTGTCTACACATTTGAAATAACAGACCCAGACATGGTTTTTGGTTTTATTTGCTGTAGGTTCCCAAAGCGTTTCCCATCAGCTTTCTGATCATCAGCCTGATCCTCATCGGTTACTCGGTGTACCTCAACCCCGTCGCTGTAGTCGTCACGACGGTCGTGGCTATATCCTTCATACCGATCAAGAGATTCATCTACGACAAGCTGATTCAGAGGTGGCCACAGTTGCTACGTCATGGAGGTAATAACACTAGACAAAAGTGTCATGACGTCTTATGTTACCATCAACATGGAGCATTCTCATTGGCAGCACAGTGAGCGAAATAGCATACACAAGTCCATCGCAGGTCACTCCCCAGCTAATGCCTGTACTCATTTATACTCCTGGGTGGAGAGAGGCAGGTGGGGTGAAGTGGCTTGCCCAAGGACATGACACATGACCAGCAGCTGGATTTGAACGCCTGACCCTCTGATTGCAAATCACCAACCTTAAGCACTTGGCCACACTCCGATACTAGCCATGACAGAGACAAACTACATGTATGTACTTTTTTGTTTACTTTCCAGAGAGGATTACGTTATTCCTTCAGAAGCTTCTCCTAGTTGTTCACCAGGAACATCAAACCTATTGAATCAAATCGGTTAGATACTCCGGGTGTGCAGCCCAACAGATGGGAGAGATACATCAAAGATCAACGCTGGCCTGAGAAGTTCTGAAGTGCCAATTTTTTTATGACTTTTGCAAATTGCAAATTTCCCAGTAAATGTTCCAAGATAGCTCATGACTGTGGGTTTGACTATTTTGTTTAACATTTCTCAGACACTGTACTTATGTATAACACCCCTTCACCGTTAGAATTCTAAATGTTGAGTTCCCCGGTTCTTTTCAGAACCTCACAAACTCACAAAAGAGATTTGTCACATGGTGCTACCGTAAAATTTTATCTTATTGCTACCTTCACCATGCAAACCTCCAAATCTTAACTGTATTTATGTACAATCTTATTTTACACAAATTCGTTTTGACACTGAAAGAATGATGTATGAAACTTTTCTAGTTATTTTCATATTTATTCTCATCTATTCTCAACTTCAACAATTACTCATAATTACAATTTTAACATGAGTATTTTCGTACTCTCTGTGTGTCTTCCATGGAATATGACTACAGATTACTAGTCAAAAATTCAGTCCCATACAATTACTCTGTCTTTTTTTCTGTTAACAAGATACAGGACAGAATTTATTGAGACTTAAAGAATTAAAACTGTACTTAATATATGTTTTGCTTTCAATTTACTTTCATTGAAAAAAAAATCAGATAAGCAGATAAAATGTTTACTATGCTTTAATTCAGTCTTAAGATATATTCTCTGTCCTTTCCAAAAAATAGATAGCAATTGAATGAGGGGTGTGCATTTACGGGTAAAACAGGAACCGGGTACCCGATTGACGTTAAAGAAACCCGACCCAAAAATTCAGATCTTGGAAATTGCTCTTTAGATTGTTAATGAAGGTCCGCACGATAATAGTGCACTACAATAAGCAAGATACAGGTGTGTACACTGTACAGTGAGCATAGCTTTACGGTGTAAACTGCAACTTTTGTGAGTGTCATAAACGTGAACTATGTTTTGTTTTCCCATGTTGCCTGGTTTTCATTTTGAAAATTCCCCATTCAAAACCTTTTTTTTCATTGTCCGAGAACTTTGTGAGCAATTTGTAAAGTTGGTTACGGATACCCGATCCCATAATCTGGAACCGATTCCTGACATCAGCGGTCGGGTACTCGGGTACCTGGTTCTGATGCACAGCCCTAACTTGAATAAACATATCTAAGTCATGTGACTCAAGTGGAATTACCTTTTTTAATTCAAATGGAAGTGAATTTTTCTTTCAATAAACTTGTATTTATACAGTGTGGCCAGATTTCATAGTTTATTGCTGCAAAAGAACGTGAAGGTGTGGATAATCGCCCACTTCCAAGCATTCAGTTTTTTCTGCTTTCAGAAGACCAGCCTAGTGTTCCCTTTGTACCTATCTCACTGACTGAATAACCGACTGACTGACTTACTGACCTACAGTCACTCGTGAGCAGGGCAGTGCTATCATATAGGATTACCCCATAACGCCAATGAATTGGCTAAATCCGACCCACTGGGACCAGGTGCATGAAAAGACTTCCAGTGAATAGCCATTCTGAATCAATCGAATAGAATTTTGTGCACTCTGGGACCAGCTTTACAAGGTTTGCCTCGTCTTGTTTCTCTTAAAAATGTTTTTTTTTTTTTTTTAGTTCTTTATCATTCCCATCCGCCCCCCAAAAAAACCCCGAACACCACATAAATTCCCTTTTCATTGGTCCATGATTCATATTTAGCTTGCTAAGCTTCAGCTGTTTTTTTTTTTCCACCAAAATGTTTAGGCAAGGAGATAAAGGTCCACTATGGGGCGGGGCCGGGGGGGGGGGGGACCCGGGGGGGGGGGGGGGGGACCCAACATTTAAGTGTCTGGGCCCAATCTCATGGCTCTAGCCCCTGCTAACCACAGAGTTCTGTGCTTACGATCGCCATTCTGAGCTAACTGTTAGATGATGAAACTGGCATATGGCCAAAAAATCGGAAAATATGCCGAAGAAAAGTATGTGTCCAAAATCTGGGCCGCGCTGCATTACACACATGTACATGCATGTACAATACACACATGTACATGCATGTACAATACACTTCATGCCCAATTTCCGGACATCTACTCCTGCTTTATTTTTGATTCGAACAAAATTTTATGATGAAAAAAAAGTGGTCAGTGTTTTCATTGCATTAAATGCCCGAATTACGGTTAGAGTAATGGAGTCATCAATAAAGAAGTTCACTTCTTACTTGAGAAAGTCTAGGGAAAAGTCCGAAAGACAAGGGCACCGTTCATGGTGCTTAATCATGTCCATGATTCAACCACACAACTCCACTACTCCACTTGCATTCATACGTGGGGAAAAAGGTATTATCGTCTTTCTCTTCTAACAAATGCCAGTGAAATGTTTCGCTAATCCTCTCTTCGCTATCCTCGAGATAATCATCACGATTTTTAAAGCATTGCATTTTGTATAACTAAATTTGAAACCTCAGAAAATCGCACAACATGATGATTTTATCCACTGGATCGTTCACAAGGCTACCCGTTCCAGACCGGCCATGTGCTAGCGGACGGTACGGTGCGCGGTACGTAGCTGGTACCATTGCATATTCGCACGCACGTGCGACACAGTGAATTTTCCATGTCGCGTCGCCTGTCAATGTTTAACCTTTTGTCCAGCCAGAGAAGGTTCCAATCAGTGTTATGCCCTGTGTTTCTACCGTTGAAACACTCCAATAACGACTGGTGAAAGAGATTAAAACTACGTTCGCGATGATTTTAACGTGCCATTTCCATCGACTTTTCTTCGAAATTATGATTGAAATAAAATAACATTTTGTGAGAAAAATCCTTACAAAATCAAATTTTCTGGGACACACTGTAAAAAAATCGGAAATTTTGTTGGAAAATTCAAAAAGTAGGTTTTCCGATTAAAATCGTAAAAGTTTCATCTCTGCTAACAGTTAAGCTAAAAATTCTGTGCTAACCCTGTAAGCACAGAATCTTTCATTACAGGATGTACACATGCGCATAAGCCAAAATTCCTTACAAACTTGTGATGTATGCTAACCCTAAGCTCGAAATTTCTGGGGATTTATCGCAAACAGTAAGCAGAAGGGCCATGAAATTGGGCACTGATGTGGACACAAGCAAACACCATAAAGTGTATGCTGCGGGAACAGTTTTAAGGCAGAAATCCTTCTATAAAGTGGGGGCTTTAAAAAAAATATGGCCTTTAAAGCAGGCCACACACAGTGGTGACTCTGCTCTTGTGGAAAACTACAAAGCAGGCTGAACATGTACACAACGTAGAGAATGCACAAGCTTTGCTATAGACATGCTACAGGCGATTGGAAAGGGGTAACCCATTTAACAAGGTATAGTTCCCCGACTCCTAAAGGCAAGTGTGTTGAGAACAAACTCTTCTATTATCTTCCAAATTCAAATTGCTGAGAGCTCGACTGTGCTCTCAAAGTTAAGTTTCCATGATTTACATGTATATCTTCATCTTCTTTAAAGTGTTAAACCTATTACAGTTTAATTGAACTTTATTTGATCTTTTCCACAAAAGACCTTTCATTACCTGTGTACATAAAGAAGTAAAAAAAAAAATATGGTGGACATATATACAAAAACACTGAGATACATTTGAAGTGTAAAATATAATGGCCTCACTAAATGAGACGGGGGGGGAGGAATCACATTACATTCAAAAGAATTTTAACAAGCCATGTTTAAAGGTTTTGGGATAAAAGCTTGTTTGGGAGATAAAGGCTTTTATGGGAGAAATGTACTGGCCTTGGGCCAAAGGTGCAATACATAAACTTGCACAGGGCAGTCCGCGAATGAACTACACACATCTTTTCGGTTGGTGGGGAATGGACGCACAGAAAATCCACTCTTCTCAACAAACTTGCTGTGATTGAAGGTCACAAAACAAGATGTAAAGCTAATACGAATAGTCTGCAGAAACAGGCTAATTGTTTTGTACATACCACTCAACCACCAAGCTTGCAAGGGTTGTTTGGCTTGTTAAGAGTCTGACATATCAGTTGGTACCACAACCCAACTGTTTATAAGATGGAATTTGAAGCCTTGCTTTTGGTTATAAAAATGTAATCCTTTCTGCACAGAAAAAAACTGTTGTGGGCAGCAATCCCCCATTGTCCTCTGCATGTATGATGAAATGTCCCACAGAGCTGTTAAGCGTAAAATACTGCTAGGCCAACTTACACGCTTGGCAAATATCAGCTCAGTGCTAGTCACAAGCAATAAGAATTGCATGGAATATTGGTTGGTAACCTGTTTTTGCTAAGCAGATAGCTTCTACGCTTAGCGCATTTCTATGCTTCGAGGCTCAATGAAATTTGTCCGGGTTTTTGTAAAGTGGAGATCCATTTTTTTTCCAAACTGGAGAATTTTGGAGAATTTCGGCAGGTGTCAAACTGAACAGAAATGTCTCTCCCCCCCCCCCCCCCCCGAAGGTTTATCCAGTCACACCTTTCTAAAGGACGATGCCTTCGTAAGACGGTCCTTCCGAGTCAGCGGCGTCCATCTTGTTTCGGAGGTGCTCCAGGGTGTTGGTGAAGTGTTTGTTGATCTGTTCCGTCTCATCGTTGTCCTCAAGGTTGGGTAGGTCCTCTCGGATCTTCTCAATCAACTGGTTAATAATCTGGGCAGTTACCTGTGTTAAAAACAACCAAACTCAAGAATTTCAATCTTGATAAAAATATTGATTGATGCCGCAAATTTATCCGCAAAATACTATATGTGATCAACAAACTTAACTTTTAGCACCAAAATGGAATTGGCTTTAAATGTCAATGTTGTAATTGATTCTGACTTGGTCACTGATCTAGTACCAATTGAGGATCACTCCAAAGAGTTTGGCTGTGTCTGTATCACTTGGCTACGGCTGGCGATAACACACGAGTCTATGGAAAGTGGCTGCAGCCGCTACCCAGTGGCTTCCATCATTGTCCATAGGTGCGTGTGTTATTCCGGCCACAGCCTCGGACTTGGAAAGTGGGCTTAACTATACCTGTGTGCATTATTATCGCAGTGAATTTGATTTGAAATTCCTATGGGCTCTGTGCACCAACGAGGAGGGCACCCTTTTACCTAGCAACAACGTCCCATGGGCGGGACACATACACTTTGCTGGTTGGCGCGCACCGTTCCTTGTGTGTGACGCACGTACACCAGGGGATTTCTACTATGTACACGCAGCGGCTGCGCTTTGCTGCAAAATATTGCAGTCAGGCAAGATGGCGTTTTTCGGTCACCTCAAACTGTATTTTCTTTGCCGGTGAGGGGGTACTTGTGAACGGAGCGGGCAGTGATTCTAACTTGGTCACTGGTCTCCATTTGGTCATTATTCTTACCTGGTCGTTTCCCTTCTCAAAGTAATAGATGTACCGATTGAGAATCTCCACGAATAATTGGACTTGGACGGTGGGGTCCATGCACTGCTTGGCAATGCGCAAGGCCTTCTTCAGACACTCGCTCACATTCTTGGAAAATTTCAGCTGTATGGAAAATTAGGAAAAAATTAAGGGAGGATTTGGATAAAAGTTATTTAACAATTGATATATCCACAATGGTCTTTGGGAGGATGAACAAGAATAAAAATTCAAAATCATAATTTTTTCAAAGTTTCGGTTAATCCAAATTTCATCCAACATACAGTGGCTACATTTTAAAAACACATAAGGCCACAAATTGCCCAACATAGAATTGTAATTCAATAATTGTGTAATTATTAAAAATGGAGTTATCTGTGGCAAAACAACAGAAAGTAGCAGCAAATGGGACTCTGTCGCTTTGATTGCCTTGAAAGCATTCATTTATATGAAACAAAGATGAGTTATTTTTAAACTGTTTTCCTGGAAGGTTTAACAGCTTTGTTGAAGAAATGAAAAACAGGAAAATACTGAGCCAAAGTTAACGAGGAATTGGCCTGGGAGTTCACAATAACAACAGTTCAGGTAAGCCGAGGGTGCCATTGACCCCCCTCGCGCCATGGACCACATCACAGCAGATAATACTTGCATACTGACCTCCTCCCCTCCGCTCTCCAGCGTCTTGCCGGACCAGAAGAGATGAGACACCATGCCCACAGCCCGGCACTGGTCAGGCTTCTTGAGCAGCTTGGAGGCAATCAGGGCACACTGGGTGCGTAGTGGTTCATGGTTCTCCTCACCGAAGAAACTCATCTGCTCCAAGGTGGCTATGATGAGGCTGATTGCTGCCAGCTTGGCTCGTGAGTCTGAGATCTCATCCTCGAAGCAGGCAAAACACTGCCGTGGAGAGAGAGAGAATGTGATAACATGTCAAACACATGGGCGTCGCCAGGATTTTTTCTAGAGGGGGGCAAAACATTTTTTTTGCCAAAAAATTCTTGTATTTCTCAACACATTCTCGATTTATCAGTTTTAGAGGGGGGCAGGGACATTTTGCCCCCCCCCCCAACTCATTAAATTTACACCACTTTGTCTTCGCGCCTCTTTTTCTTTTTTCTTTTTTCTTTTTTTTCTTCCTTTTTTTTTTTTTGCTTTTCCAGGGGGGGGGGCAAGTGCCCCCCCCCCCCTCGCGACGCCCATGGTCAAACATTGGAAGTACTAAACTGCTTGATAGCAAAACATCTGTTACATAATTTGCATTAAATTTTGGTTGATCAGGGATATTGGTAGTCTGAGTATCACCCGTTATCCACGGAGCAAGTCTCCTGTATAACGTCTGATATGCTATCCAGGGCCCCCAGGGAGAACAGTTCATTGACAACTGATGGGGCTAAATAAATAAATAAATGTCTAGACATGCAGATATATGCAAGCCGCGCGCCAGCCAATCAGAGTCGACTTTACCAAATCGTGACGTCATTTCATTCCCAAATCAGGACTAAATGGTTTGATTGGTCAATTTGAATGCAGTATTTTGTAAAACAACAACAGCCGGGCGCATATGCGCGTAACATGATACAGAGTGCGTGACACAGGTTTTTTTTATCCATTGTCTATGATACGCAACGGGTGAATGACCGAAGACACGATATAGAAAACGCCCACTGATTGGTCAAAATCTAGGGGTCAAGAGGCTGTTGTCTTGCTTAATTAATCAGCGAATCTGCTCACATATCATAGGCATTTGCCGTGGTCTATTACATAGACTAGGATATTGGGGGAAAATGAACAATCCTCCAAATACTCAGGAGAGGGTTTGAGGGTCGACGAGGTGCCAAGAGCAACGTAGGGTTTATGGCATATGTTTGTATCTGCCTACGAGCACCCCTCACAGTATCCATATCTTTTGTTGATAAAAACAACTAACAGTAAAACCTCAGGAATTTCATATTGCAAAAGTGAGTTTTTTTAATGCCGAAATCAGAAATTCAGGAAATCTTGAATTCAGGAAAAAATCTGACAAATCTCACCATTGGATGATGTAAAATAATTGTATACTTCAGGAACAAGTCAGAACTATAGTATTAAATTTGAATCCTGTGGCGATGATATGGCTAAACCAAAAATTCACATATTTTTCATGATAGGTAATAGTTAAAGCCCTTCATTCCCTGCTAACAAGCTCCTGATTCTGCTAAAAAGTAAAATTTCGGTACTAGCACTGAAAGCCCAGATTGGTGATCGTCACCACCGAATACCACGGTCAGCCAAGCCATTGAACTGAGCCTACATGCCGCCGTCTACCTACCTGGGACATGAAGTCATAAGCCACCATCTCATGATTCTCAAAGTCCACGGTGCCGGCTGCCAGGGCTCCCTGAAGGAACAGGCGCAAGGAAAGCTCCGGATACTCCGCCTTGGACAGGGCACAGATGGTCTGGTGACTGAACTGCAAGATCTTCTGGCACTTGACTTCCCATTTGTCATCCTGTTGAGAAGGAATAGTCGGGGTAGGAGAGAAATAATCTTTTCCATTTGCATATTGACCCTGTTACATTTCTTTCTGGACCTTAAAAAGATTTTTCAAAATTTCAATGGCCATTTTCTGAAGCACTAGAACTGTTATTTACTTCACATGGACCAAGTTGGAGCTAGAACCATTAGTCGACTAGTGGTTTATTCGTGACATAACTTATGCCTGCACAGAAATAGTAATGCGCGAATGTCTCCAGTCAAATGATGATCAAAACGTCATCACGAAACTTCTTGGTCCTGGATCCCCATTGTGCTTTATTATGCGGTTCCAAGTAGTCGACTAGTGTAGTCCAACCACCCTTCGTTCAAGTCAAACCATAGTCTTTGCTTTAACTTGCCCACTGCTGTTTCTGTTGTACATGGCACATTCCATGCATACACAATTTGCTCAATACCCCCAAGTCATCGTTTCCGGCCTAAATACAGCAATCACAAGCTAGATTAGTAGTTAGGATGGGTGTGGGACGTTGCAAATTCAACCTCAGGAAGTGGGGCTCTTCAGATTCTGACAAATGCAGCTGTGGAGAAGTCCAGACAATGGCCCACCTACTGACATGTGGTGGAGATACGTGCACCGTTGACGACCTCCGCGAGGGCAGTGATGTGGCAATAGCTGTGGCACAGCAATGGCAGAATGTCGACTGACACACGAGCTGATAAGTATTTAGGACTGCCCACAATCAATCACTGTAACCTACCTCCTCTGCTAATTCCTTGAACTGGTACGCCAGGCGGTGGGCAGCAAACACCAAAGGTGGTAACGTGTACTTGATTCGCTTCTCTCCACCTGTGCCAAAGTGCTTCCGAGCTGTGTGCAACATCTGCAGTTAAGTGAATGTAAAAAACAGTTTCTTGTGAAGAAGGCCAAGTCCAAAACTGGCACAGACGTTTACGGCTACGACTATTTACCTTGGCATACCAATGACCAAAACCCAAAGCCACAGCCACAAAAACACCAAATTCGGACAAGGGCTATGAATGTTTACAGAATGCTGTAAACTCGGCAGAATGATGAATGAACGCTCTAAAAGTTATGAAAGGAGCATTCATAAGATGCAATTTTGCGTCGGGGTGATGTAAATCAATATTAGGCTTTGCCCTTCACCGCTGTAAAAACACTGTATACTCAGTGTGTTATTTTTTCCAACTTTCACTCGGGAGGTAACACACTGAGTATACAGTGTTTATACATCAATGAAGGGCAAACCTAATACTAATTTTACATGTAACCAAAAATTACGTCCATGTGAACTCAACTGGGATTCATTTACCTATTTGTCACAGCACCCGAAACTGCCCTAGTACTCTATAGTTTGTTTGTTTTATACATCAGTGAATAAACACAATGTATCTCATTTTTTTTTAAAGACAACTTTTTTTTTTCTTGAAAGGTGAATCCCAAAAATGTAATTTTTCACTCGGCCCACCTTTGCCTGTTGGTCGGCTGTCTCTGCTTGGAGTAAGTTGACAAACCTTCCCATCAGTCCTTGCTCCTCGGCAAAGTCATCTGCGTCCTCCTGACAAATAATGAGAACAATCAAGAAATCATTATAGCCAATGGCAAAAGAAAACCATTTAGACAATGTAAAAAAACATTATGAACTAGTTACATGTCAATGAAATGTTGGTATGTAAAATTGTACATTAACTTCTACATGGGGTTGTGATAAATCTGTAATATACAAACAATTCTTGCATGCTCAGTTAAAAATGGAGACATCACATCCTTGTTCTCCAATATTTTTTGTAGCATATGCAGTAAATTGCACATGAGATACAATGAGATACACCGGTGCACAAATTTGAATTTGTTGTTGGGAAAAATATGCAATGGAAAAACAGCTAGTCTCATCTTCAGGCAGTGTTAAAATTTGAAATAATTGTTGGAAAATTGAAATCCTGCAAATCTGAAAAATAAAAATTGTTTCTATTGTGATGTGAATTAAGTGCACATATTTTATTCATACAATAAAGACTAGAGGGCACAATATGGGCCTTCTGTGCCAAAAGCTTAGGTGATTCCCACTAGTTTATTGACGACATGAAAGTAGGTTTGACATTATTTCCACTTTCCTTTTAGATGTTCCACAGATAGTGGTGACTGGAGGTGGGTGGGTACAACAAGGAGGGCAGTAATGACCCGCCTTATTCTTTGTCTTTTTTTTTAAATCATCTCTTTAGCCCCCCACCCAACCCCCCACCCACAACTGTAGATTCCCCAACAGAGATGCAGTGGCGCACCCAAGGGGGGGGGGGGGCTCAGGGGGCTTGAACCCCCCCCCCCTAAGGTTGTCAATTTTTTTTTTGGGGGGGGGCATTTTTTTTTTTAGTCCCACGATTTGACCTTGGTGATATGAATGTTGCCTATTTTCGAGTAGTATAATAGGGGTGTAAATGGCGCCACCAACTTCAAAAATTTGCGGCCAAAAATTTTGGGCAAAATTTTTTGAAACAAATTTAACTTCTAAAAATTTTGAAAAAAACCCCAAAAAAAACGAAAATTGTGAGGCCCCCCCCCCCCCACAAAGCTAAATCCTGGGTGCACCAATGCAGAGATGAATGTTCTGTGCCCAACCCCTCCCCCTCAATTTCAGAAACAAATTCAAAACTACTGAACTTTAACCCCCCCCCCCCCCAATTGGGCTTCAATGCAATCATTTTCTGAATGAGAAAGCCTCAACCAGAGTTGAAGGCTGCTTTCTCCAGTGTCAAATAAATCTTGTCAGAAAGGTACAGGGGATGAATTGTTCAAACCTCCATCATGCTCAAGAAAATCTAGTAATGCTATGGCATACAGTACATATTAGTGGATTTAAGCTTTGCCTCTTGATTGTGTGGGTTCAGTGGCCTGTGGGCATGGGTAGAACAAGGCCAATGCCCTAGGGCTGGATATCCTAACCAGCATGGTTGCAATATCCAGACAGCTTTGGACAATCCTCCCAAATATTCAGGAAAAGCTGCTACAGTACAGTAGATGTGTGAACTTAAAGGGAATATACAACATTTGCAAACATCGAAAAATAAAACTACCAAGTTAATAGGATGTTGGTAAATGACAGTCTAAAGCATCCTGTAAAATTATGGCACCTGGTATACTGTCATTTTCAAGAAAATTGGTATTTTTGTATCAATTTCCAACGCTGATCGGCCGATCAGCGTTGGAAACAACTGGCTTTTTTTCAAATACTGGCCCCAATTGACCATTGCACTTGTTTGCAATCGATTACAAACCTATGAACGGGTACGAGCCAGCTAGACTGGTTCCCTGACCTTACAATTCCCCAATGTATGTAAACTGCTCTGTTTCTTCTTATATGGAGTCAGGGGACCAGACTACAGGAAATGATCGTTTTTCTTGGTTTTTATAGCATTTTCGAACCCAAAACCTCCAAAAAGTCAGTGTAACTATATTTGCTTTATATTTCCAACCCCCCAATTCCATCCATTTCTGAAAATTACAGCAAAAGCAAATGATGTATATTCCCTTTAAAGGCATTAAACCATGGAGGAAGGAACATAAGCACTGCCATATACATGTGGGTAAAAATGTAGGTGCGGAGCCAGAGGGGGGGGGATCAAAACCCCCTCTGGATCCGCGCCTACAAAATAAAAAAATCCACAGGAAATCATGAGAAAAAAGGACCCCCCCCCCCTGCTCCGACACCCCAATTTTGTATTGCTAGTAATAATGTACACCTTGCATAAAATAAGTACAGATCCCGCAATGTTGGGGGGTACCAGTATATGTAAATTATTCTGTGGTAAAATGTTAATCATCGTCGGATTTGAACAGCGCCCCCATGGAAAGTATGGAACAAGCCTCCCCCCTCCCCTTTTTGATTTTACGGAGACCAAGTGTCCAGAAAAAAAGTATCTACATGCCATATTTTTTTTGCCGATGAAACACCCCCCCCCCCCCCACAAAAAAAAAATTCTTGGATCCGGCCCTGAAATGGCTGGTTTGTTTCAAATGTAAACAATATGTTTTTGTAAATTCTTCAAAACATTTCACAGTTTACATGTACATCTCAATCTTTATAACTTACATTATGTTGATTGGGTTGGGGTTTTTTTTTTGGGGGGGGAGGGAGGATTTCAAAGCAACAAGGATATATACATGTACATGTAGAACCTCTACAGCTCCTCATTCCTGTCATTAACTCCAGGGATACCCTTCAGACATAATACTACATTTCTAATGAAAAAGTCCAGCATGCCCCGGTCACCTCCTGCAGTTTGCCAGACTGGTCCACATTTCACCCAGTGAACCCTCACCCACTTCCCCCAAGTGTCTCCAGCTGTTTCCTGTCTGGTGCCAAGGACATAGAAACAAAAACCTCCACACACAGGTCTAGTATCCAATACCATTGTCAGAAGATTACTGTACAGTTTATGCCACATCTTTTGTGGTTTAGGCTGGTTGCCCCCAGGGGATAGTAATGTTTAGAGGCCCCCTGATTTGACGATTATTGACAGGTGGTGAAGGGTGGCAGGTGACTGACAGCTGATTGGCTGCTGTGTGTACAGTGGTGGTATGGGTTTCCAGGGGGTGCCACTTCTACAAGAATGCGGGTGCGTTTTGCTACAACCATTTTCTTCATGCTTTTATTAAAACCAAGACTTGCAAAAGTCACCCACTGTTCCTTTTTTGGGGGCATGTGTTCTGGAATTTAACATCAGCAAGCCAGCTATGCGATGTACTACACAAGAGAGCTTATGCCCACTTAATTATATTATGCTATCAATACTATATCTTCATTAATTTAACTAAATCATAAAGGTCAGATTCAAATGGGCAATTCCACACGAAAGTGGACATAGTTGAAAAGCGGAACATTTATTAAATCTTAAGAAGTTCTACAACTAGCATCACAACCTCCAATGTGGTATCAAATGAAAGGAGACAACAAGGCCTTTTGTTTGAGTGGTGTGCCAGTGAGATAGAATGTGGTTAAAATTATTTTTTAAATTAAATTATTATTATTCACTTGGCATCGTTTTCGCATGCAAAATGCAAGTGTTATTGTGAGTTTTCGCTTTTTAAGGCAGAGAGAAAGGTTCTTATTTTATGAAATTATTGCAAAGAGCTTTCATAGACTACCATGATTCAGTGTGCTTTTTATCACGTGTTTGAAGTTGATTTCAGACATGTAATGTCCGTAATGCTATAATGTAATGTCCATAACAACATAAATATGTTTCCATAACATCAAAGTTCCTTTTTGTAAAATGTCACCGGTGTTTGTATCTAGAGTGAAGCTCAAAAATCGATGTCTCAAAGCGTAACATCTGTACTGGTCTTTTTACAGCACATATATCACATTAATTACTTCCGCTAACATTACATTACCCATGCCATGTTGTACATTAAGGCCTAAGCTAGAGTTGTACCAAATATATACTATTTTCTTTCACTACAAGTATTTTACTTTGTTGTTTCAAATTGGTTTTAATAGGCTCTGAATGTAACGTCCCTAATGATGGAATTGCCCTTATGATAACTTTTGGAAGGTTTTGAAAGATTTAGAAGTTCTTCTTTTTATGTCAAATGCCAAATTTTTGTTTTTACCAGGCGCGGATGCAAGGGGGGGGTTCAAAACTCCCCCAGCTGTGTCAAAATCTTTTTTTTTCCATAGAAATTCTTAAAAAATAATTCCTGGATCCGCCCCTGTTTACACACAATTTGAGAGGAATATTATCTCTAATTTGCATCTTTAAAATTTGTCAAATACCAGCTGGTCAGCAACATTGAAAAAAAATATGTTGATATGCATGATGTTCTTAAGTTGTTTTTTTTTTTCAATGATTTCTGTTAATTGTAAATTGTAAACCATCGCAATTCAGTCTTCGGACTGCGAGAATGGTACGAACAATAAAAAAAACCTTCAATTCAATTAATTGTCAACAGGCGCACACACATCACGATTGGCAGCCGATTCAATTCTTGACTGGTGCATGTAATTTAAGCTGGCGCATGTAAGACTTGATCGACATGTTTCCAATGTTCAAAATATTTTATCAAATCCAAGTTCGATTATTCAAACACTAAATTATTCAAAGTGCAGAGCCCCACTAACTGAACATCACCTCAAGATGCAACCATGTGACCAGGGTTCATTAACAAATGTCCCCACACCTCACTGCATATAGTTTACCATGCTTGAACTGACCTTCTTTGTCAAGGTTTCTCTCATCAAGGATGCAATCCAATCATTGCAATAATAGAAAGACAATTTCATATTAGGCCCAAAAAAAAAATATTCGGTCTCTGGTCAGATCAAAGTTCCGGAATTGACGTGCCCACGCGGCTTTTTTTTTTTTTTTTTGCTTTTTTTCTTTTTTCTTCAAGCTTGGATTGTACAGACAAGGTAGGTACTATTTTGCTTTTTTGGTGTCATCATGTACATTGGTGTCCTCCATAATTTGCCGTGGTGCAATTTCCCATTCCTTGGTGCTCTTTGGTAAAAAGAAATTGAGGTGCGGAAATAGAGGGCGCTGTTGGAGCTACCGTGGAACATTTTGGAAAAAAAAAGATCGACGCACATGATTAAAATCGACGCGCGCGCTGACCAGAGACCGACTTATTTTTTTTTTTGGCCTAACATCATTTAACCCATTAGCTAACCCTCCTCTTGCTTAAGAGGTCACCAATGGTCAACATTTTCTTCCTCACCTCCTGGCCTACTGTGTACAAACCAATGGGGGTCTTGACCAATATTGACCCAAGTAATAAACAAGGCTGACAATGCATGTTTCCATAGGAGGGTTAGATCCGTGTACCGCTGCAACGGCCTTGTTACTCCCTATAAAGCCCAAACTACCCAAGCAATCTACGGTTTCATGGATTCATCAGGGACTAAATACAATGTAATACAATGTAATACAATGTAATACAATGTAGTACAGCTGCTCAGGTAAACACTACTTCTGTTCATACATCTGGGGAGTCCGTGCACAACAGACCCTTTGCATAGAGCGCCCTCACTGAGGACATGTCTTTGTTTCTCTGTCAAATGCATAGGTATACACTTTGTACTTTCTTTGTCATTGAATTCAAACTAAGTCCTCAATGAGGACGCTCTGTGCAAGGGGTCTATACTAGGGCCATGTCCAAATTGCTTGGCTACGGCTGGATATAACACACGAGTCTATGAGAAGGGGCTGCAGCCGCTTCCATAGGCGCGTATGTATTCCCTTTGATCATCTATGTGAAGGCACTAAACTTGTTCCTGGTCCTCCCTCTTTCTTCAGACTTTCATTTAACAGGGGAATGTAAATTAAAGTCCACAAAAATGTTAACCATATATAGTTGTCTCAAAGTTATGTGTACCAGGGACACTTCCAAAACTGCATAAAACCATGATTTACATGAATTTCAACCACAAAATAATGACTAACAGCAATTCACATTCCACTACAGCTGCTATTTCTGAATGGTAGCAAAAGCATTCATTTGTCATTGTTCATCCTTATTACGGTCGGTTCATACTCAGCGTGAAAGTGAACACCAATGCAAAGTTGCAATGTCACGGCACAACTTCTCGCAGTGAATTTACAAAACTCAAACACATTTCAACTCTGGCAAAAATCTCTGCGAATATTTTGTGATATCAAATTTGCATTGAAATTGAATATGAACCAGCCTATACAGCCTATCACCTGACTTGTAATGTGACATCTGATTGGCCTATGAGTGACTTGATTACAATGATTGGAGATTCTTACCTCTTCGGGCTGATCTGATTGGTCCTTGACCAGCGTGGCAACCATCCCCAAGATGGAGTCGGCCTGCTCCGACGTAAGCACCAGGTTGCCGTTGTCCAAGGCGCTGTTGACCACGTGCAGGCTCATGTTCTTGCGGCCGGCGTAGTCCAAGTATTCAAAGAGCGGCGGGAAGTATTCCAGCTTCAGCAGGGTCAGAACGTTGTTGTAGCTGTCCACGGGGATCTTGAGCATGCGCATCAGCTCCTTGGAGACGGGGCTGGAGTTGGCGAGACTTCCACTGTTGGGAGAATAAAAGGAAAGTGAAGTGTGACTACAATGACAGATATTTGTACAACGTTAATGTTTAAAGGGAATATACATCATTTGCTTTTGCTGTAATTTTCAGAAATGGATGGCATTGGGGGGTTGGAAATATATAGCAAATATAGTTACACTGACTTTTTTGAGGTTTTGGGTTCAAAAATGCTATAAAAACCAAGAAAAACAATCATTTTCCTGTAGTCTGGTTCCCTGACTCCATTTAAGAAGAAACAGAGCAGTTTACATATATTGGGGAATTGTAAGGTCAGGGAACCAGTCTAGCTGGCTTGTACCCGTCCATAGGTGTGTAATCGATTGCAAACAAGTGCGATGGTCAACTGGGGCCAGTATTTGAAAAAAAGCCAGTTTTTTCCAACGCTGATCGGCCGATCAGCGTTGGAAATTGATACAAAAAGTGCACTTTTCTTGAAAATGACAGTATACCAGGTGCCATGATTTTACAGGATGCTTTACACTGTCATTCACTAACAGTCCAGCAAGGTATTTCAAAATGATTTGGTAGTTTTATTTTTTGATGTTTGCAAATGTTGTATTTTCCCTTTAACCATGTAACTGTATTTGATTTTAATATTTTTTTAGTCTTGTCCCCTCCTTTATTTTCCACCACATGAAACCAACTTTCTACTGCATTCCTGAGATACAAAGGAAATGCTATATAGCTTTATGATTCATACACAGCCAAAAGATAAGTTTTCCATGACTTTCGGACCCCAACAAATGAAGGGGCAACTGAATTTGCTTATCAATTCTACATGTCTATCATTTCCATATAATTTAAACCATACCCTAAACAAGCAAGCTTGAAAAGAAATTACAATATATTTCATGACCACGTCATAACAGGAAAACTGCAACAGACTCTGTGCTGGAACTGCAAATTCAAAATCCATCGCGGTAACGCCATTATTTTCCAATTTATTTACCATGACTTTCACTGCTTTTTTTCCCATGCTCTTTGGAAAACAGAGAAAAAAGGGGCTCTTGGACAAACAATCCCGCTATCAAAAACAGGAATTTTGTCTTACTGCGCAATGCCAAGCTTCTTGAAGATTTCCACGGTGGAGTTGAGGACCTTGTCGATGAAGTCTACTCTGTCTTGATAGCACTTCAGGGCAAGGTTGATGAGAGAGACTTGGAGGGCTACGACGTCTTCTGTTGGCATGTCTGTCCGTGCCTGAAGTGATCGACAATATTCAAGAATGTCAGGCTCCTATCGTTCTCAGATTAACCACATCAAAACTCACGACAGTATTCTAATTTGTTTACAAGCAATGTGCCACCTCACATCTGGCAAAAATGTTACGTCCGGGTTCTGTAGTAGTTTGGACGGATCGTGGCTTTTCTTTCCATGCACCAAGGACACATATATTTCCTTTCGCCCTTTACTTTTATAATCACTGTATATCAAGTACCGTACAAGAGCTTGAGAAAAAAAACTTCACAAGCTTGCTCGTGTGGGACTCGAACCCATGACTTTCTCCTCGAACTCAAAGAAAACCTTGAATGCTTAGACTAGATTGCTTAATGTCCATTTTTTGTGTGGAAAAATATGGACCATAAAGTAGTCAGATGACATGAAAATGGAGAAGATGTTAGGAAACTAGAATCGAAGACTAGTCACCATGTGTTTCTTTTGACATACTGTAACACTGAAGAAATTTCAACCAGCTGTTTTAGGCGAAAGTCTTTTTGTTTTGTTTTATGCGGTTTCACAATCTCACAGGGGTGTGAGTGACCACTGATAAAAATAGATGAAAAAAACAGCTGAAAAAGGTGTAAAAAAGCTGAATTTTGGAAATCCCCTATATTTTTGTACACAGCAAGTGAGGGGAAAAAGCTGATATCCAAAACAAAAAAAGCTGAAATCAGCTAAAAAGCTGAGATTTCACACCCCTGATCTAAAGGCCTGTTTGTACTCGGTGCAAAAGTTGACTTGAACGCAAACTTGGAACGGTAAATACTCACACTGGGATTTGCAAAAGTTGAACACATTTCAACTCTAGCCAATTTTGCAGCAAACATTTTTGGACGTCAACTTCCTTTCGCCTTCGTATTTGCATCAAGATTGAACCAGCCTTTAGGTCTTGGATCTCTCAATGCACAATATTTAGAGTCACACATTTCAGATTACTCCGACTCTCATTGGAATTACCTCTATTATGGCTGAGATCTGCTCTGAAAAGATGTCGAATAACTTGAGTTCTGATGGGATACCTGCACTGTCGTCTCTACAGGCAAACAACGCCAACCTGCACAACAACAAAATCATAAAACAAAAATTCATCAGATGGAATTTCAATATTAGGCTTAAGCAGGAGGTCATGGGTTTGAGTTCCACACGAGCAGTTAGTGACTTTTTTTCTCTCAATCACTCGGGACAGCACTGTGTATACAGTATAGAAATAATAGTTACATTTCAGAGTCTGATTTTGTTAAAGGGAATATACATCATTTGCTTTTGCTGTAATTTTCAGAAATGGATGGAATTGGGGGGTTGGAAATATATAGCAAATATAGTTAGACTGACTTTTTTGAGGTTTTGGGTTCGAAAATGCTATAAAAACCAAGAAAAACGATCATTTTCCTGTAGTCTGGTTCCCCGACTCCATATAAGAAGAAACAGAGCAGTTTACATACATTGGGGAATTGTAAGGTCAGGGAACCAGTCTAGCTGGCTCTTACCCGTTCATAGGTTTGTAATCGATTGCAAACAAGTGCGATGGTCAATTGGGGCCAGTATTTGAAAAAAAAGCCAGATCGGCCGATCAGCGTTCGAAATTGATACAAAAATACCCCTTTTCTTGAAAATGACAGTATACCAGGTGCCATGATTTTACAGGATGCTTTACACTGTCATTCACTAACAGTCCAGCAAGGTATTTCAAAATGATTTGGTAGTTTTATTTTTTGAGGTTTGCAAATGTTGTATTTTCCCTTTAAGCATGACGTAGCTTGCGAGGTTGTCATGACCTCTTCATTCAGCGTTGTGGCTAAATCCCTACGGCTCATGTGACCACCTTTGAGGCGGTCACGTGAGAGCAGATATCAATGTGACAGAGTCCAATATCAGTATCCATGCTGCTATGTATACAGTGTTTGTAAAATACGTTGGTGAAGGGCAAAAGCCAATACTGAATAAAGAAATTAAAATACAATCAGCAGAAGATTCGACAAATAGAAGTTTAAGGACATTTTTCACTAATTTTTTTCCCCCGAAATATAGTCTTATATAAACATGCAGTTGAAGGAGCATACCTAGTTGTTCATTATGATAAATATGGAACCTTGACATTTTGATTAATGCAGATATTGCGTTGTTGAAAGTGTTGACTTTTCCCATTTTCAATGCTCATGTTTTGTAAAAGTCTCCAAGAATTACTCAAAGTAGCTCTAGCTCCCTGTGACTCAATTTGTTCAATTTGTTTGGCTGCTGTAAAACTAAAGTCAAATTCAGTATTTTGAAGTTCAGTGTTTTCCCAAAAAAAAGCAACTTGCTGTATAGCAGCGGGAGAGACAGTAGTTAAGTCAAATGCTTCCCAACTATGGATACATTTTGTAAAATAAAAGACAACTAAGAATATATTTATATTAAATTAGGAAATAACTTGAAATGTCAAAACTGTTCTGCTTTGAACACTTCAAAGATGCCATGTGCACCGCTTACCTGTCAATAAGTGCTATGATGATGTTCTTGACGTTGACAGTGTTGTTAAGATCAGCGCAGGCTTTGAGGAACGGACTCAGTGTTTGAAGGTGAAACTCATCAGGAAAAACCTGGAAAAAAAAACCGCAAAAGAGAATAAAACCAGAGAACTGCTAATTGCAAAGCAAAGAATATAATTCTTCAGTTTTTAACTCACCCTCTAAGGCTGGCAAATTCAACAAAGCCATCGCAGCAGTCAAAATCAGTCAAGTGACTGTTTATAACAGATGAGTGTGCCCTGTCTACACAAAGCAGGATTGACTGGCTGTGACTGTTTAACATGATACAGCCATGCTTTGACTACCATACTAAAAGGCATGAGGGACAAATGATTTTACGTATTCTGAGGGATTTGGAAATTTTCCAATTTTGACAATGAACCTAAATATGTAATAAAACAAATACAACATGGTTTACTTCGGGGGTAAAAAGCACAAAATCGCTGTTCCCTCAGTGTTAACTGCCTCTGACTACCTCCGTCTGTTTCGCGTCAACTGGTATTCAAATCGTGACCAGTTGTATTGGTATGCTACAAAGTGAACATTACAAATCTGTTATGAAGACATTATAAATCTGAGTGGGGGCTCGTAGCCGAGCGGTTAGAGCATGGAGCTACGGAGCGGAAGGTTGGCGGTTCAAATCCCATTCAGACGAAAAACTGGAAAACTCTCTCTGACGACCCAACAGTAAAATGGGTACCTGATTCGTTCAGGGAAGGTAAGACGGCGAGAGGAGAGGACTGGGCCCCGCCACTCATATGCCGCGCCCAAGACACAGTGGACCTCTAACATCCCACTGCCCCTACGGCCAGTAATGGCTATGGGATCTTTACCTTCACCTTACAAATCTGAACTCAACATTGCGAACTATACATGATGATCCTGACCTGAATGATGCATTCCATGAGGTACTCTTGTGCAATGCTATCCCTGCAGCTGACGCACTGCTCCAATATATCTGGCAGAACAATCTGTGCAGTTAAGACAACATACGCAAGTTCAATACCAGCATTCTTACAACAATCGTGACTATAATGTACTAAAGCATTTGATGGGATCAGAAAACTAAGACATTTCGAAATTCTGGTTCTGGGGAACCCTATTGTGTGTACACAATATTGATACAAACAATTGGCAATACAACAATTTTATGTAAACGTTTTCAATTTTCAAGCTGGGGGCGGTTGTATTTATTTCAATTCTGCAGCTAATTTTAAGATTTGTTAAGTTGTTTTCAATGAACATCTAGTTATGTGGCCAGATGATTAAGTAGGGCAGTGGGAAGTGGGAAACAGATTTTCTTGCACACTTTTATGGTTGGAACAGAAATTATGATAACCTGAATCGGAAAACAGACTTTTATGAAATGGAAAATGAGTGGTCAGCAGTTGTTTGGGAAATGCATTTTCACCTTTTGGTATCTGCTCATGTCGACATTCTCCAGCTGGCTGATGCGGACTAGGTTGGTCCCCACCAGGATGCGTAGCTCCTTGCGTTCCTTCTCTCGCCTCTCTCGCTCCCGGGAGTGGCCCTGGTGCTGGATGCGCACCCACAGCTTGTTCATCTCGCCAAAGTTCAGAAGGATGAAGTCCGTGGAGTCTTCCACTGTGCCGGAGTCGTTCTCACTGAGTAGGGTGAGGGGGAGGGAAAGAGGAGGGTGCATAAAAAGATTTGGAACATGGTATGGATTGCCCATGGACACAACATATGGCCAGCAGCTGGATTCAAACCTCTGACCTATGATTATGAGTAACAAACCCTAACCACTCGGCCACACTCCCCCACCAATCCTTATGATACTTTTAATGCTTACTTCTCTTCCTTGGTGCAGTCGGGTAGGATATTGCGCGTGCATTGAAGCAAGTAGTTCCTCAAGAACAGCCCCCTGAGAGGGTGTTGGACCCCCCGACACATCTCCACCAAATCCTTCATGATGTCCTTGCGGGAATGCTGGCTGGTCTTGATGTACACAATACCCACGGTGATCAGGAGATACCTGGGAAAAGAAAGAAAAAAGGGATACACAATTTTGTAGCGAAATGGCCATCTGTGTAGCCTACATAACGGCATGGTCTCCGCAAAAGTAACCCGTTAACGGTTGCAAAGGCAGAGTTGGTGGAGACCACTTGGAATGACATTCAAACGCATCAATGACGCACACACGAGAACGCTATGGGTTTGTCTTCTTATTTTTCTTCCAGTGAATACATACCTCCATAGTGCAGTATTGTCGTACTCGTTGGGTTTATGCACATTAGTTATGCGTACTTTCTGCCATACACCGGCAGACCAGTTCACGCATACGATTTGTCCCACTCACTGGGGCTAATGAAGCCCCCTCTACTGTCCATGCATAGAGTCCATTAGAGGCTCCTACTTTTATATGGGTATGGTACAGTGTACTTACAGCCTGGGCACTATATTTCCAGCGTACTGCACTAGTTCGTACAGGTCTGATATGCGGTGTCCTTTCTGATACTCATCCAGGAGATACTGTTCCAGGTATCTCAGCTCATCGCAGACCTGCATGTCTGTTGGGGCAAATTCTTGTTAAGGTGTCTAATCTTAAACATTGGGCATTTTGATCTCTTTCTCACACATTACCTCCACTTGACTTATTATGACTTATTTATGATTTATTAGGAATATGTTAATTTTGCACTTTCTTTTTTCTCATTCTTAGATTTTCTGTGTCATGTCATTTATTACTCCTGTTCATGTGAGTAAGATGTGGCTCTATGTGTCCAAAGTGGACATTGCTATTTTTGTGATGTTCATCCGTAAAAAAAAAAAAAAAAAAAAAAAAAAAGACAGACTGAAATTTCAATTAAACAGATTCACTTCCCCCAATTAACAAATTGCGTATGAGAAAAAATAATAATTGAATGAAAAGAAACTAACTTCAATGTAGCACTCAAGCTTTTGTCTTTTAAAACTAGTGTTTTCTTTGCATGCAATTTGCCAAGACTGATGCATTCATACAGTAGAAATTTTGATTGGGACGATGCTATTTCAAAATTTTGAAACTCCAGTATTTCATTTGAAATAATAGTGAAATATCCATTTGTGTTTGTATGCCTTAAGTCATTTTACAGCTCATTAGTCATCCAATGTTGAGAAAAATTAGCAATTCCAATTGTATTTTTTTAGGGTAACCAAATCCCAAAAACACAGAAATAGTAATTGCCAATTCTGTTTTACAGTTCTATGCATGACTTCAGATTAACTCTAATCCTCAAGAGGATTCTGTCTTTAAAAACACTGCACAATGCAACAACACGCGAAGCTTGTCAGAGTCAGAGGTCTGGCAACTGCAACAGAATACAACAGTAGCATTGTTGAATGGGACTAACTCCCCTGGTCTCAGAATTTGGCATTTTTGCGCTGGTGTTGCTGGCTCAGTGCAGGAAGGTCCAACAGGCGTTTACACCTGATGCACTGTGTTAATATTGTAGGGTTATGAATAAAGCAATATCAAGAGTAAGCATGAGAAGGATACAGAGCTCATAGTAGCTCTTTGGAGACAACATGGAGGTCCGCAGTTCACCCAGCATGTTGGAGGCATGCTTCAATCCATCCATCAACTTGCCTTTGTCCTGGATGAAATGGAAATAAAAACAATGCATAACTGTGAGCCTTTTTTTACATGTAATCTTTGCCACATTAACTTGACAGCCTCATAACTTGGTGGATGGAGTCAAGTTGATTACGGAAAAAAACCACAGTATCAGCAATTTCCTAGCTCACCCCTCTCCCAAGGAAGTTTAATTGGATCAAACTTTTTAGGAAAAAATTAACACTGAGCAGTAACCAATGTCAAATTCTTTATACTTTGAATGTGGACAAAGGTCACAAAATATCATGGTTGTTGAGCTGTACAGTATCATGCTCAAAACATGCGTTAATGTAGGTGTTGGATTTGAACAAATGATGGGCACTCTCACTTGAAGTTCTAATTTTTCCATTATCCAAACCACTGGACTCACCAGGCATCTTTTCATCTGGAATGACTGCATCTTGACGACATGCTGAGCCTCATCCAGGAGTTTCTCCTGATCATCTTGGGGAGACTGTCCTGTTTGCGGCTACACAGACAAAATATGGCATTAACTTATAGGCGTCTTGGTGTTGTTGGTCACCTTGCCATCAGCTTGAACACACAGACGGTGGCTCCTAGCATTCCAGTGAGATTATGTTAAATTTAAAGGGACATTACCTGCCTCAAATCCCCCCAAATTTTATGTTTTGGATTGTTGACTTATCCTATTTCAAACGTCTGGTCGAAAGGAAACTACTAATGTCACACTGATACTGAGAAAAGACAAAAAATCCCTGTTGTTTACTTCTGACGTGGCAGACATTTTGTGGCATATGAATAGGTAATTCCAGCCGTGTCCAATCAATGTATGGTACACATTGTGTGTGTGTGACACACAATACATACAGCACCAATACAAAAATGCTGTTTCTTGCACGTCTGCAGGATTCACAACTAGCACCCAACAGCCACGACAGCTTGATTTTTGAGAGTCAAAATTTTGACTACCAAAATTTGTTCTTGCAAGAGTAACACAAAATTCCCATTTCCGATTTGGGAAGAATTCCATACGTGGACATCACTAATTTTTCCCTGCAGTGACCTATCAGCCATCAGAAAGCGATGAGACCCCAAAGAATATAGTTATGTTTCTGGTTACCGTACCTACCCTATTTTGACAGCCCCTTCCCCAATTTTTTTTTTTTTAATGAGAAAAAAAAAAAAATGAAAACCATCAATTACTACCTTACCCCTTTACTACACGCAGACACCTCCATATGATCGTACACAAAAAAATTTGCCAGATAAAAAAAAAATCCCTCCCTACCTACACAATTTTCAAATGCCATGTAATCAGAAGCAGAACATTTTTTTTGGGGGGGGGGGTGCCTAACATGTCCTAAATAGTCAAATTTAGCAGGGAAAATATTGCAGCATTTACTCAGAAAACACTGAATTTTTCAGACCAGTCTCTTCATAGGTTTGTGCACAGTAGGTTTGTGTCAAGTGATGTTCAGGAATTCTTTCCAAATTGAAAATCATGAAAATAGCAACAGCATTTTCATAATTTAGCGTGATGTGTGAGATATCATTCATACATTACAAGAAGATGAAAAACAAAATCGATGTCTTTATTGAATTTCCTTGACAACAGAATGGACATGTTCTTGACCAGTTGTTTGTTATCCGATTTCTAAAGTTTGGAACATGACCATGATGACATGTATGATGTATCACACCGGCAATCGTGTAGTGAAGGGCCCGGTTCCTATAAGGGAACAAAATCCACTTTAAAATTATTGGACCTACCAAACTAGTTGGTGCCATTCTCAATAAACAGGTATGTTCTGGTGTTTCAGAGGCAACAGTGACGTGGGTTCGAGCCCGGGCGCGGACAATTGTGCCCTTAAGCAAGGCACTTAACCATTATTGCTTCGTCCTTCGGATGGGACGTGAAGCCGTAGGTCCCGTGTGTTGTATAATATCTAATGCACGTTAAAGAACCCAGTACACTTATCGCTAAGAGAAGGCGATCACCGCGCGATGTACCGTGAGCATGCACGGCGCACTGAATCACAAGGCACCAACTGAGCAGGAAAATCGTCAGTGATCGTGTCCCAAGAAACTGTTAAATTTTGCAAAACGGGTGTCATTAGAATTGAGAGAAGTCTGCTTTTGATAGTAAAGGTGATTTTTGAGCAATAAAAAACATTGTTGACTCTAATTTGATCAAACAAAACAGGGGCCCTACACTACACGATCGCCATCACACACCGGGGACCATGGACATTGACACGTACACTAGACGGTCTACCGGTTTTACTACCGTAGTCCACACCCCCAAAAATCATGACTGCCATCCCACATTAAGAATAACTGAAAATTCATCTTAAGAAATTACATTTGATTGATTTCTATTTGTGATTGAAAGGTATGCAAGATTGCTATCAACTTCATTAATAATGGAAGCAAAATACAGACGTTTAATGATCTATTTATGATCTAAATTAGTGCAAAATCCATACCATCTTGAGCTTGTTTCCCTTGCCGAACAGGTATATTGTTACGCTGGTACCCTGAGAGCGTAACTCATAGCACAAAATACAGGAACCAGTGAATCCCGTGGAGTCGAAAACCCAACTCACGTATGACGTTCTATGGATTCTATTACTCGAGCCCAAGAGGACCCGACTATAGCGAGATAAATGCATCACGTGTGCAGAATATTACAATATGAATATGAAAACCCTTACGCTGAGACCGGAAAAGTAAACTAAAGTAAAGGTTAACTTTAAATTTCGTACAGAAAATAATTTTATTCAGGATGAAAGCAAAACAGTCAAGGTTCTATTGAGATATACTTTCCCTAATTGGGTTAGAGGCTGGAAAACAACCATACATGTACCTATCGGAGTTCGGTACAGTAATCATTGACAATGTGATGTGATTGTAAATAATGTGATTGGCTGAATGTTACAATTATTGTCTTACATCGATCCAAGAAACTTGCACGCCAGCAAATATATTATGCTACACATCTATTTCACTTAACTGGTAACTAAAAATGTGTTACCTGGTACTTTTTCTTGGGCCCCATCTTGCCCTGTTAAGGTTCTTCGGCCAAAATATATCGGGTGGCTAAAATCCTTTAGTATTTAATTGTAGGATCAATTTAAGTGTAACAGATATTGGTAATGCGGCTGGCATGGTGTACTTAAGAGCTGCATTTGCATCAGGTTTGCACAAACAAATCTTGAAGACATTGGCAACGATTTTATTAAACTATCCGGTCCGTAACAAGGGTGGATCCAGATTTTTTTTGGGGGGGGGGCAAACAAATTTTGGTCCCCCAAAAGTGGAACCCAAAAAATTATGGCGTGGGGTTCGGGGCCCGCTTAAGGGTCCCGAATTTTTTTTGGATTCTAGATGCTCTGTGGTACGATCTGAGGCAAATTCTGACCACGTTAACCAATTTATTTTAGGAAAAGATGGTGGTGTACGTACTAAGTGCCTGCCTTTATGGGTTCCATTTGGGGGGGGGGGGGGGGGGGGATGGCCTCCGTTGTCCCCCCCCCCATCCGCCCTTGGTTCGTATCATGTCATTTCAACTGAAAATCACCCCCACTGCATACAGAGTAGCATTGAAAATCATTGGAACTACTGGAACTGAAAGTAGTGCAAAGTAGACCCCTCTCTTTGAGGGAAAATTGCAACTGCGTGTTGCTCGAAATTTCTTCAAAATACGGCATAGCCGAAGCGCGTCACGAATATTTGACGCCCAAACTGCCGATATACGCCGACTGATCTGTTATGTACGAAGTGACGTCATTTGAGAGACACCTAGCTAATCGTGGTGTGTGCGCGTGCATGGATATGACGAAGTCACTTACGAACCAAATACTAATGACTCTCAAAACTGACTAAATGACAAATTTTTTACAAACCTGCCAGGTTTCAATGCTAGAATAGGCCTATAAATTAATTTTTATTGATCTTTCAAGCCTTTAGTTATGGTAATTTTATCATCAGATACTGTTGGCATGTCATGGTATAATTTTAAAATACTATATAATTTCAATTAAGAATTATTATGCCTTCACAAAGGCATTCTTTAAAATCTCCCATTATTTCTTGTTCTTACTTTAACTCGTCATACAATGGTTCACTGGTTAACTTACGTTGGTATCAAGGCAATGCTGCCAGAAGTGCTTTATCAAATGGAATTTGGATCTGATCAATCTCCCGTTATGGGATGTATAGGTTGCAGGTGTGTGTGGCTGGGGCACTAATAATAAGCTCGGCTTTTTATACTTGACAAGTTTGGTTTCAGTAGATTTTCCTAAATGCATCAAAAGTGAAGGGGCCTCTGGTCCCGTGTTGTCCAACAACGAAATGGATATTGAATTTCAAGTTCCAATTATGTCCTCAAACATACCATTGATACCATCACCAACGTGTGTGCAACATACTTCGTGTGGTAATGAAACACTTCTAAGTTACTGCACAAAATACACTTTAAAAAATCATAATGGACGATTATTTATTGATATATTTAACTACTATTTATGTGAAGTAACTTAAACTAAAACATATTCGTTGCATGCTTTTGTATCATGTGGTTAACAAAAGACTTCATAATCGAGGAAAAAGATAACATTTCATTTGGCATCTTAAATATTTGCATAATTGAAATTTCAAAATTGTGTAAATATTGATAAATATAAACTTTATATTCAAGTGATTGTTTACAATTCACTATAATTTAAAATGGTACATACTTATCATTGATCATCGCACACTGTTTAAACATTATTACCGGTATGTAATACATGCATGACGATACTAGAGATTAAATAGCACAATACAACGGGAGTCCAAACAACAGTTTCAGGATACATTTTCTTTGGGGTTTTTCTGCACTTTTTGTGACTTATCAACAAAAACACATTTGTTCTTGTCATTTGACCTTGTCTGTGTTTGGAAATTGAACCTTTGCCACTGGAATTTTCTATGGAAACATTAGCAAAAGTCGCATTGAGTCATTTGAGTGATACTCCAGTCTCTTTACTTTAAGACGTTTTCATTCATCCAACAAAGAGCCATCACAAATGAAATGGTAATCATGAAAAGAAAATGAACGTCAAACTAGCTACAAGTCTAAAAACAAAAACAAAAACACATTCGGCAAGGCTACAGAACAACCATCATAATTATATAAATGCAAGGCTAAAAATGGTTATAATGGACCTCAGTATCTCAACAAGCCAATAATTCCTAATACTACAGGGGAGTGTAAAAAGAAGGAAACCCACTTTTGACAGGAATTTTAACCTACGTACTTAACTTATTTGAATTTTTTTTATATTAGTGAAGTGTAGCTCTTCAACCATACAAGGTGAAAAAAATCACAAGAATAGTGTTATTATGCTAATTTGAATACAAGTCACCAAAATCACTGTTGTCCACGTGTAAGTCTGGTGTAGTGTTTTTGATCTTCAAATCAAGCTCCAGAGCTCAATCAAGTGGATGGAATAATACCGGAATAAACAAGTTTGGCACATGACATTTTTAAACGACCATATCTGGGAGACAAAATATGCATTTGCAATCATTTTTTTTTTCAACAAGTAGCTAAAAATTGCTGTCAAAAGTGGAATTCCTTCTTTTCGCACCACCCTGTATATTAAACGAATAGGCACACTACAATGAGGCACGTAATACACAAAGGCTTCTAAACAGGATAAGATCCCTCTATAAACGAATACAATTATACATAAAGATTTGAAATTACACATCTGATGATTCATGGGCCTGCTTGGCAATTGTCATACACTGGCCATACATTGGATTCCCAAATTACCTCATTCCAATTCACATTCTCACTGGCTTATCACAAAAAAAATTCAACCAAGTTTATTCCCTCCAAAATTAAAATAAACGCCAAAGCTAATAACCACATACGACATGTTGTATAAGTACATGTACTCGTATTTGTATACATATTCTTTGAGTGGATATTTCAGATGAAAAATTCTGACACTGAATCATTCTATCACCAAGAATCAATGAAAAAATGCAATTAATTAAAAACCAACACATTTTTGAAGCTCATCATAAAATACTTTTCATACTTATACTGGTGGGGATCCTTTCAAATGAATAAATTTCCTCATAAATAATTGTGTTTCACTTTGCTGTAATCTTTGTACTCACATCTGGTGACACACAATCCTCTGGTGATAAAATAGACCTTTCAAAAACTTACATCTAATGTGGTTGCACAGACTCCGGAACAGTATGTGAGAACAGATTGATTCATTATAACCCCCGCCCACTGCACATGTAGACGGCAACTCTTGTGCCTCTCAATGCAATGCCACACTTACATGTTCCAGCCACACGTCATACTTATTTGCGTGTAAGTCGGACTTGTGCACAACATAACAGCTGTGATTGGTCAAAACACGATAGGGCCGGAAATAATGGAGCAGTCTAATACTTTTAAACCATTCTGCACAAAAGACCAGTTTGGTATTCCAACTGCGCATGAGCACATCAAGATTTGACATTGTCTCTTTCGGGATAAACTTTTCATCGTGTGCATGCAAAAGCATAGCAGGGTACCAGCAAAATTGAAGAGATCGTCGTGTTCTGAAGTAACAATTTGCAAAAAAATGTCTTGTGTGTCCAAACTTGTGTGTGAACGAAAGTTTCCATCTCTTTTCTATTGCACGAAAAATTACACAGAATGCGGATTCAGTTACCGCATCCCCCATAGCCTTGTGTACATGTACTTGCCGCGTTTATCCCCCAAAAGTTGTTTAATCGTGTTGTGCACCAGCCTACGCACACCTGATGGTTTCGATTCTAAGCAGTACCAGAGATGACACAAGTAGGTGAGGAATCAGAGATCCACGACGCTGAAATACAACAAGAAAAACAAAGTTATGTATATATATGTATTTTTGAAACGCAACACAGCTGTTTTTAGGCAGTTGTTTTCTGTGTGAAAAAAAAATGATGATGAATGATGATATCAAAACTTTTCTTTTATATTCTAGCTTATTTCAAGTCCCTCAAATTGAAGGCTCTCAAATTGAGATTGATAGGCATGTCAAGGTTAATTGTCATATACCTTGAAAGATCTCAGACAGAGGGAAGCCTTTGTGGTAGTCACACTTTTCACAATCTTCAATTTTGCGTATCATTTTAAAGACAAAAAGTAAACTTTGTTTATCCACGTGTAAGGGGCATGGTCAATGGAATGATTTTCTGCCAATTCTGGCAGGTTGCCAGCCTCGTGTCCTTTTTGATAGCATTGCCATAGATGGGCAAATGTACTGTTATCGTGACTGAGCTATCATGAGCAGGGTTAATAATGACTTACTAGTTGATGGGGGAGTGTGGCCTGGTGGTTAGGGTTTGTGGCTCATGATCAGAGGGTCAGGGGTTCGAATCCAGCTGCTGGTCATATATTATGTCCATGGACAAGCCACTTCATCCCCACTTGCCTCTCTCCACCCAGGAGGATAAATTGGTACCGGTATTAGCTGGGGAGTAACCGCCATCCAGGGGTCGCAGAAACATTCTGTCATTTCATGCTACTGAACCGGAGACAAACTGATGGGCCACATTGGTTTGTGACAGACTTTACTCTTTTTGAAACTCTAACCTCACCTAAAGCTACAACATACTACTTGTAGCATGCAGTGCTTCAGCATATAAGTGGGCACCGAACTCATAGTATTTTCTGGTATTTGGTGTCTGCATACATAATTTTGGTGGTACATGTACTTTAATATGTGGTACCGGTACTTTACCCCAAATTATTTTGGGGGTTAGGGTTAACTTTGATTGCCAATAGTGTCAGTAAGTTTTATTACTTTAATTACTTTTATTTTATTACCGGACCTGATTATTGTAACAGTCTTCTGTATGGTTTACCCAACTCTTAAATAGCCAAGTTACTGAGAGTTCATAATGCAGTTGCTTGGCTAGAAAGAAATTCTCAGATATTCAACCATATATCACCGGTTTTGTGTCAACTACATTTGCTGCCAGTTAAATAATTTCATATAGACTTTAAAATACTTCTTTACATTTTTTAAAATTTTACACGGTCTATCCCCAAAGCACATCAGTGATTATGTAAGTGTTAAGAAAACTCCAGCATATTGTTCACCTTTAAACAATAAAAAGTGTTTACAAATTCCTATAAGTGTAGAATGTTAAAAACACCAGGGGTAGATCATTTTCATCAGCAACCCCAGAACTATGGATTAAGTTGCCTGCCGACATTCAACATTCTCAGTCCATTGAAACTTTAAAGTCTTAAGTTAATATCTTTTTAAACTGGATTTTAAGCAATTTCATTGCTTATCTACCAGTGCATTTTTATTTGTATTGTCCTGATAGACATTTTAGATATACATATTTTTTAAACACCTTTTTAAACATTGGATTTAAGTTAATTTAATTCTTGCTATTTGAATGTTAACTTCTGTGGTACATTATGGAACGCGTGGTTAATCATTTTTATGAAGACCGCGCAATACAATTTTTCATTTATTATTATTATTACTATTACTCTCTCTGCCTCAAAAGACCTAGGTATTTGCCCGTGGTCTCCTCAAATTATCCACAGTTGGGATCACTGGCTCCGCTCCCACCACATCAGCCCGTCTTTCCAATGCTGCTGCTTTCAGTTCAGTGGTGTCACACCCTGACCATTCTCGGATGTTGTCCACCAAGCGGATCTTTGGCCGCATTATTACTAACTTTTATTATTAAGCATGATCATATTTACTCACAATCATTTAGGCCTACCTATCTAATGGTAAGCGACAATGGGCACACAGCCAATTTGTCATTACAGAGAAGAGAGAGAGAGATCTTCAGCCCATGTGGGTGTTTGGACAAGCAATGAGCCGGAAAAAATTAAACCTGACCTCAATCAATTAATATCCTCAATCAACATGCCCACTCAGTTACCCCAGCAGGTGCTATTATCTAGCTAAATGAACCACACGTACACGAGTGGCCCAAGTTAACCAAATAAGGTGCTCTAATGGCTTTGGGGTTCTCTAATTGGTTAACAAAGCTTTGGACTTCATCACTGTTTCACGTATATGAGGATAATGGAATTAAGAAGGTGCTCTGTTTCTCATGGGATTTTTGCTTTTCTAAACAGCAATGCTTCAGTAAATTATGACCCTAATACCTGTTGCCAGTTGACAAAGGAACGGGTAATAAATGAAGTGTCCATAACAACAGAGTGATTGAGGTCGGACACAATGCCTACAGACATTTTTGGTGGTCACTTTAATATGAAGTGAATAATACTGAGAGTGTGTGAGGACGAGCATCATTTTACAACAGTGGTCAGCAGCAATTGGTGCTGTCACATTCAAGCTCCAAGAGGAACCAAACATACAAATACATGTATCAATGGTATTTCTGTGAACATGGCCTCATCAGATATGACAGATATGAGTGTAAGCTGGCAAAATTCTTCTGAGGAGTTAACTGTTTGTTATGGAGCTGTAACCGGTGAGCCTGCCGCTATATTCATGTATGTAATGTTGGCTCTGACAACCATTCTGGTGGTGGTTCTCAACCCGCTGTGTCTTGTTGTTCTACGACGCACAAGCAGCATTCAAGATACCACCAAGACATTTATGGCATCTCTCACCATTTCTGATCTCTGCACTGGGATCTTCTGGGGGATTCCCAAACTGATCGAATACGCATCTGTGGTAACACCAGCACTGGAAGATTTCATTTGCGTGATGGCTAGTCTTGTGGCCCCATTATTTTTCACAACAAGTATTCTATCCCTACTTCTAATGACAATTGACCGCTACATCGCTATCGTCCATTCGCTGCACTACCCCAGGCTCATGACCCTGTGGAGATCAAAGGTCATAGTTGCCCTGGTATGGGTAGCAGCTCTTGTCGAACAGGTTGCTTTGTCTATCACAGCTGAAGCTCAAAGTTCACTCCTCTGCAATTTTGATTGCGCAGTTTGCGACTATATGTATCTCTGTATAATCGTAATCTCTCTTGGGATCATCCTGGTGCTTTACGTGCACATCCTGAAAATCGCCCGGCATCAGGCACGTCGCATTGCCGCACAGAATTACATAGCTAACCCTCAAGGAGAGCAGAATGCCCCGCATCGAGTCAGCACTAGGTCTGCCACAACAGTGATCATTGTGACTGGATCGGCGTTCCTGTGCTGGGCTCCGCAGATTGTAAATGTCACCCTCGACCTGGAAGTGGAACAATATCCATGTGCCATCTTTTACATCACAGAAATCTTATTCTTGACCAACGGTTGGCTGAATGTCGTCATTTACTACTGGCGGAACAGGGAGCTACGGGAAGCAATGCGCAGCTTGGTAACATCACATCGCCGTTAACTTTCAAACTTACAGCAAAGTCCCGATGAGCTCTGCAACTTTTAGTCATCAGCTTGAAATCAGTAAATTAACTAGCTAGTGATTTCATCATTTTACTAAAGAGTCAATTATCTCAAGTGCCTTTGCAAGAACCACACTTTCGGGAAGTACAAATGAACGTGCCTACATGTGGCTTGCGTATGTATGAAGGTGATAGAAAATTATTACCACCTAACAGCAATGCAATACATGGACAAATGTACTGTCATCTTGACATTGAGGCTATGGGCTCTGTGTGCCAACGAAAGAGGGCGCCCTTTTACCTAGCAACGACGTCCCGTGGGTGGGACTTTCGCTGGTTGACGCGCACCGTTCCTTGTGTGTGCCGCATATACACCAGGGGATTTGTACTATGTACACGCAGTGGTATGGCCGGGTGTCGCGCAATATTGCAGTCAGGCAAGATGCATGCGTCGGTCGGTCACCCCCAAATGTACTTTCTTTGCCGGTGAGGGGGTACTTGTGAACAGAGTGGATAGGTATTGATTACTTACCTGATGGGTATGGGTAATAATGACGCACTACTTTGAGTCAGTTGAAGTGTGCTTCATGATTTCCAACAATCGTTTACAATAATGAAAGGTGACATAGAGCACATAGCGGATTTGTCAATATAGCAAGGTCCTCTTATGTGGATAATTGGACAAGTAATGGGTGGTAGAAAATGAACCACAAGTATGTGAGTGCAGGTCAAGGTGAACTACATTAGTTGCTCTCTCTCTCTCTCTCTCTGATGGTTTTGGGTTCTCTAATTGGTTCACAAAGCTTCAGACTTCATCCCCAACTCAATTTATGTGTACATTGGTACCTATACTCAATGCTCAGTGCAGCGCAGTGACATCACATCGCTGCAAACTTTCAAACTTACAGCAAAATCATGATGAGCACCTCGATTTTTTTTTCCAGCAGATTGTAATCCATTAATTGGCCTCAACTAGAGACTTCATCATCGGACAAAACAATCACTCTACTGCTGAAAATGTTCTATGAGTGGCAGGTTGCATCTTGAGCCTTCACTTTTTGTCTCAGAGGGCCAGCCTTGTGTCCTCTTTGATAACATTGCCAAAGATGGGCACATTGTACATTTTACTTTTTAACTTTCCCTTTTTAACCATCGAGGAAGTTCTTATGCACAAAGCCCATAGGAATCGATTATTAATTGGCTTGATGAGCAGGGATTATAAACACATACAACCTAGAGTGTCAGTAGTGTCAGTTAAGTGTGTTCATATGCACAATCATTACGTACAATCCATTTGTCCATTATCGAGAGATCTTCAGCCAATGCGGCTGTTGGACACGTAATGGGCGGAAGAATATCAACCTGACCCCAATCAATTCATATCCGTAATCAATATGCCTTCAACTACCCCTAAAGGTTATTCAACCTAATGGACCACACGTACATGTACATTTTAATGAGGAGCCAAGGATAATGGAAAAAGATTGTTTTTGATTTTTGCCTTTATAGTGGATAGCAAAGCTTCAGATAATTATGACCCTAATTCTTGATGCCAGTTGATAAAGGAATGGGTAATAAAGAACAAGAGTGATGGAGGTCGGACACAATGCCTACAGACATTTTGATGATCAACTTTAATATGAAGTGAATAACACTGAGAATGTATGAGGACGAGCATCATTTTACAACAGTGATCAGGAGGAATTGGTGCTGTCCCATTCAAGCTCCAAGAGGAACCATAGATACAACTATTTATTGTATTTCTGTGAACATGGCCTCATCAGATATGACAGACATGAGCGTAAGCTCAAGCTGGCAATATTCTTCTGAGGACAACATCACTGCTTGTGACGGAGTTGTTACTGGTGAGCCTGCCGCTATATTCATGTATGTAATAATGGCTCCGACAACCATTCTGGTGGTAATTCTTAACCCGCTGTGTCTTGTCGCTCTACGACGCACCAGCGGCATTCAAGATACCACCAAGACATTTTTGGCGTCTCTGACCATTTCTGATCTCTGTGCTGGGATCTTCTGGGGAATTCCCAAACTGATCGAATACGCATCTGTGGTAACACCAGCACTTGAAAGTTTCATTTGCATCACGGTTTACCATGTGGCCTATTTATTTTTCACAACAAGCATATTGTCCCTACTTCTTATGACAATTGACCGCTACATCGCTATCGCCCATTCCCTGCACTACCCAAGTCTCATGACCCCTCGGAGGTCAAAGGTCATAGTTGCCCTGGTATGGGCTGCAGCATTTGTCCTACATGCTTCTTTCGCTATCACGATTGAAGCACAGAGTACGTACCTCTGCAAATATTCGTGTTACGTTTGCGAATATATTTACATCTGTATAGTCGTAATCTCTCTCGGGATCATCTTGGTGCTTTACGTGCGCATCCTGAAAATCGCAAGGCATCAGGCACGTCGCATTGCTGCACAGAATCAAGTTGCCAACCCTCAAGGAGAGCAGAATGCCCCGCATCGAGTCAGCACCAGGTCTGCTACGACAGTGATCATGGTGACTGGATCAGCATTCCTGTGCTGGGCTCCGCAGATTGTATATGTCACCCTCGTTCAGGAAGTGGAACAATATCCGTGTGCCATCACTTACATCACAGATATCTTATTCTTGACCAATGGCTGGCTGAATGTCGTCATTTACTACTGGCGGAACAGGGAGCTACGGAAAGCAATGCGCAGCTTGGTAACATCACATCACCGTTAACTTGATAGCAAAGTCATGATGAGCACCTCAACTTTTTGGCACCAGCTTGTAAACTTAAGTTTAACTCACTAAACATCTTTGTTGAGGATTATGTGAAAATACAGTGACTTATCATCTGACCGATAATGGGTCAATAATCTCGGAGTCTTTGTCTCAGTACATACATAATTTTTTTTGCCTTTAATTCATTTTGACAGACACGTAAGCAGGCACTCAAATTGAGATTGATAGGCATACCAAGGTTCATCGTCAGATTCAATTGTTGATAAAGAACTCTATCATGAAGTTCTTGTGATTCATAATTCAAACTATTTGAGTAGACAGTAGGTGTTAAAAAAATGTTGTTAAAAAGCTACTACCTGAAGCTTCATGTCTTTATTATAGTCATCCTTTTCACAATCTGTGCAGTTTTGCTTTCTATTTAAATCACAAAAATGTACTTTGTCTTTCCTTTAAAAAAAGAATTCTAGCAGAAGTGATACTATATAAGGGCCATGGTCAGTGGAAGAATTTTCTGCCAGAGTCTTCACTTTTTGCTGGTCCCAGAGGGCCAGCCTCGTGTCCTCTTTGATAACATTGCCATAGATGAGCAAATGTACTGTATTGATATAGGTATTGATTATGTGCACGATGGGTATGGGTAATGATGACCTATTGTACTGCCTTGAGTGCCAATATCATCAATTAAAGAGTCATTTACACACAATCTTTACCCTAATGGTAAGTGACAATGGGCATAAAAGAGTGCTCATAATTACACACAATATTTACACTAAGTGACAACAATGGGCACACAGCCAAGTTGTCATAGAGAAATCTTACGCGTATGAGGCCATTAGACATCTACCAATAATGGGAGGGAAAAATAACCTGTCCTCAATCAATTAATATCTTCACTCACCATGCCCATTCAGTTACCCCCACAGGTAATATTATCAAGCTAAGTGAACCAGGATAATGGAAAAAGTTGCTCTGTTTCTGTTTCTCTTAATGGTTAGCAAAGCTTTAGATAATTATGACCCTAATACTCGCTGCCAGCATCCATAACAAGAGTGATTGAGGTCGGACCCAATGCCTACAGACATTTTTGGTGGTCAACTTAAATATGAAGTGAATAATACTGAGAGTGAGTGAGAACGAGCATCATTTTACAACAGTGATCAGGAGGAATTGGTGTTGTCACATTCAAGCTCGAAGAGGAACCGAACATACAACTATCGATTGTATTTCTGTGAACATGGCCTCAACGGATATTACAGACATGAGTGTTAGTACATGGGGAAATTCTTTTGAGGACAACATCACTGGTTGTTACGGAGTTGTTACTTGTGTGCCTGTTGCAATAATCACCTATGTAATAATGGCTCTGACAACCATTCTGGTGGTCGTTCTCAACCCGCTGTGTCTTGTCGCTCTTCGACGCACCAGCAGCATTCAAGATACCACCAAGACATTTATGGCATCTCTGACCATTTCTGATCTCTGTGCTGGGATCTTCTGGGGAATTCCCAAACTGATTGAATACGCATCTGTGGTAACACCAGAACTGGCAGACTTCCTTTGCGTGATGATTGACCTGGTGGCCCCTTTACTTTTCACCATCAGCATTCTGTCCCTACTGCTTATGACGATTGACCGCTACATCGCTATCGTCCATTCGCTGCACTACCCGAGTCTCATGACCCCTCAGAGGTCAAAGGTCATAGTTGCCCTGGTATGGACAGCAGCTCTCGTCCTACAGGTTGCTTTGTATTTCGCAACTGCAGTACAAAGTTCAAAACTCTGCGAATCTGTTTGTAACATTTGCAATTATATGCTCCTCTGTACAGTCGTAATCTCTCTTGGTATCATCCTGGTGTTTTACGCACGTATCTTGAAAATTGCCCGGCGCCAGGCACGTCTCATTGCTGCACAGAATCAAGTTGCCAACCCTCAAGGAGAGCAGAATGCCCCGCATCGAGTCAGCACCAGGTCTGCTACGACAGTGATCATTGTGACTGGATCAGCGTTCATTTGCTGGGCTCCCCAGATTGTGCATGTCAACCTCATGCAGGAAGTGGAACAATATCCGTGTGTCATCATTTATATCTCAGAAATCTTATTCTTGACCAACGGCTGGCTGAATGTCCTCATTTACTACTGGCGGAACAGGGAGCTACGGGCAGCAATGCGCAGCTTGGTAACATCACATCGCCGTTAACTGTCAAACTAACAGCAAAATCATGGAGAGAACCTTAACTTTTTACCAGCTTGTAATCTATAAATAGGCCTCAACAAACATTTTTGTTGAGGATTATGTGAAAATGCATTGACTTCATCATCTGGCCTGAGTCAGTTATCTCAGTGTCTTTATCTCAGTGTTTATGACTTTCTGATGTCTCCAGCAAGTTTTGGGTGTGTCCTCAATTTGGGTGTAGGCCCCACACCTCTTCATTTAGGGGCCATTCAAAAATTTCGATGTTTTTAAATTTCAATTTTTCTTGGGAAATATGTTGGTGGGTGTTATGGGTCAAATTAATTTATTGAAATTGTTGTTAATCGAAATTCACTTTTTTCAATTAAAAAGACAGAAAAAAAGCTCTTTTGACTTGCCAATTCCACTCTCTGCGTTCTGATTCATAAACCCTTTGCCCGTACCGTACCGTACCGTACGGGTACAGTGTGCATCCAGTATATGTACAATGTACCGTGTATTGTGTCTACGTCCATCGGAGCACCATATGCATGGGGACCAGTGAAGTTAGACTTAAAGCATGCGTAAAATGACTAAAATCAGTGCGCCGCGCAAATGGATCGAGATACCAGGTTCGTTTTGTCTTAATACACGCCACGAGTGTCATTACGAATCCCGACAACGAAATAACCTTCTTGTGTTCAAGACTACTTATAGGCAACCTGCATACATGCGCATAGTCATGTCTGCGTGCAATGAACATATGGCAGCGCCCACACGTCTGGAAAGCGCGAGTTGAGAGTTCATTTTTTTTTCTATCAAAAACAACTTAATTTTTTGCATAAACTTCATGAATAATGGGAGGCATTACAACTCTTTACACCACAACAAAATTAATTTATTTTTAGAGGTAGCTAATACTTCAAATTAGGTTTTTGCCCTTCACCGACGTTTAAACACTGTATACTCAGTGTGTTACCTCCCGAGTGAAAGTTGGAAAAAATCACTCGGGTGGGACTCGAACCCACGACCTCCTGCTTTCTAATGCAGATAGCTAATACTTATTATTACTGTTTAGAATGACCTAGTTTTACATGTTTCCAGGTGAATTCCCTATACGTACCGGAATGCCAGTGGGCCGTGTTGTTGCAAAGGTACCGTATACGGACTGCAGCTGCATTCCTTATATTGTTTATTAAAAGGAAAATCAATATTTTAAGATCAAAAATTGGGGTGGGTGGGTTGGTCAAAACAATTTGAAAAAAAAAATTGAAATTCAAAAACACCAGAAATTTTGAATGGCCCCTTTCATGATGACTTGAACATACTTATGCCTATTCTTTGCGTATTCTATATATTCTAACTTAGTTAATGTGCCATTTTTTCTGTCCCTCCCTGTGGAATCTGAACTTTGGAATCTGTTATTTCAGACGTATCATTAAAATTGTATCAAGCCATGTTCAAGTACTTACAGGACTTATTTGTAGGTATGAGACTATTGGAAAAAAGCCATACACTAGCATCAGTTTTCTGCACATTCAGTTTTAATTTGAGGCTTGATTCAAGTTGTTTTTCCCTGCATAGGCTCCGTGCATGAACAGTAAATGAAAAACTTGTTTTTTAGAGCTTCAGTTGAAGAGGCATATCATGTGCGCCCACTGGTTTGTGCGCATACATGAAGCATCCACGATTGATGTTGCTCTGAAAGTGCGCAAACCTGTGGGGTCTTTGTATGAGTGTCAGACTAGGCGCCGTCTGCATTACTGTTGCTGTCATCTTATCAATATGAAATCTTGAATATATTTGGACAGACACTGAAGCAGGCACTTAAATTGAGATTGATAGGCATGCCGAGGTTGATTGCCAGATTCACTTGTTTATCGTGATTCAATGTGGCTGTTGGACAGGAAATGGGAGGGGAAAAATGAAACCTGACCTCAATCAATTAATATCCTTCATTGACATTCCCATTCAACCATCCCTAAAGTGGCTTTTATCTAGCTTAATGGACCACATGTACATTAGTGGCTCTGTTTCTTGTGGTTTGGGGCTTTTTTTATTGGTTGACAAAGCTTCGGACTTCATCACTGTCTCACGTTTATGAGGGGCTAAGGATAATGCAATAAATTGCTCTGTTTCTACCTTTGAGATGGGATTTACGCCTTTTTAATGGTTAGCAAAACTGCAGATATTATCCATGTACATATACTTAATTCTGATGCCAATACCTGCAGTCAGTTGTTATGGTAACAACTAACGTAGTGACCAGTACCGTAGAGTGACTGAAGTTGAACACAATGTCTACTGACATTCTTAGTGGTAAACTTTAATGCAAAGCATACCGGTATGATACTACTACGGAGTAAGGTTTGCGAGGACTAGCATCATTTTGCAACAGTGCTCAGGATCAATTGATGTCACATTCAAGATACTCTTTTGTGATGGAGCTGTTACCGGCGAACCTGTCGCAATATTCACCTACGTAATAATGGCTCTGACAACCATTCTGGTGGTCATTCCCCCTAGCCATCGGGTATTAATTATGAGCCTGATGGCTAGGGGGAATAATGACATACTACCTTGAGTCAGCTAAGTGTGGTCATAGTTAAGCACAATCGTTATTATAGAGAGATCTTCAGCCAGTGTGGCTGTTGGACAAGTAATGGGCGGAAGAATATAAACCTGACCCCAATCAATTAATATCCGTAATCAACATGCCCATTCAACTACCCCTAAAGGTTATCTAACTTAATGGACCACACGCACATGTAAATGAGGAGACAAGGATAATGGAAGTAGATTGTTTCTGATTTTTGCATCTCTAAATGGTTAGCAATGCTTCAGATAATTCTGATCCTAATACCTGTTGACAGTTTACTGGGAATTGGCGATGTAATGTCCAGAACAACACAGTGACTGAAGTCAGACACAATGCGTACAGACATTTTTAGTGGTCAACTCTAATATGACGTGAATGTAATACTACTAAGGGTGTGCAAGGACTAGCATCATTTTGCAACAGTGCTCAGGATCAACTGATGTAACATTCAAAATACTTTATTGTATATCTGTGAACATGGCCTACACAGATGTGACAGACGTGAATGTAACGCGGGGAAATTCTTCTGAGGAGTTCACTGTTTGTGACGGAGCTGTTACCGGTGAGCCTGCCGCTATATTCATGTATGTAATATTGGCTCTGACAACCATTCTGGTGGTGGTTCTCAACCCGCTCTGTCTTGCTGTTCTACGACGCACCAGCAGCATTCAAGATACCACCAAGACATTTTTGGCGTCTCTGACCATTTCT